TTTCTTCGTTCTCGTATATACGAAAGTTTCGAGCAGACTTAGAAACTTAGGACGAAACCTTATCGAAAATTGAAGTTGAATACTTTCGCTTGATAACGTCGATGATCGAACAAGTTTTTCCAAAACGTTTCGATATCGCGGAAGGATCCAAAAGTTTATTAACGAGAAATTAGAACGTGCTGTTTTCTGGTTTTGTTTTTAAAAAGCACAAAAGCCTTTTCAATTCTATTTTGAAATATTTGAATACAGGAAGTGTACGATTATTTTGGACAATGCAAATTTTTATTATTAAACGACTGCACTCATTATTCGGATCATCTTGGAACCTTTTTCTGTTAGATCGTAAACACTTGCCTATATCTTATCTATAACTGTATAAGATATATGCATAAGTTATGTACAACGTAATCATGTGTTGCATCTGATAAGTATACTTGTATAAAAAAAAAACAGAGATACATAGTCGGATACAGTTATATAACGAGATATAATTGTAACACACATCTTAACTACGGTTTGTAAGAGTCCAAGATAATATACAGGGTGTCCCACTAATTCTGTCCACCTCAAGTGTCTCCGTTATTTCAAGTGATAATAACCGATATTGACGAAACTTTGGTATACTATAGTACTGAAAGAAATATTTTTTTTTATCGGTACTCGTCCATATTAAAGGGGAGAAAATCGCCCTCGAAGATGAGGGTAATAAACATTTTTGGTCGAAATTATTTATTATTTTTAGTTTTATATTTCCACTATTTTTCCACTAGTTTATACTGTTTCTCTATCTCTAATAGTTTTCGAGATATTAGACTAAATGTATTTACTACCTGCAACTTTGAGGCCGATTTCCACCCCTTCACTGTGGACGTTTACCGATGACAACAAAATACGCGTGGAATATTTTTTTGAAACTACTATATATCAAAGTTTCACGAAAATCGGTGATTATCACTTCGGGATGTTCCCCTGTTAGAAAAGTTGTGTGGCTGCAGAAGGGTATTTACCATAAGGCGCATTAGGCGCAAGCTGGGGCCTCGCGCTCTATGGGGCCACATTTTAAAACCTTGTGTTATTTTTATTTTATTAAAATGAGTTACTGTGGAAATGCCGACTTTTATTTTTAACCCTTTCGCTGTTCAGCCCGTATGTCGCGTCATGCGGACACGCCGAAAAAGATACCCGGTACTTGTACTGTCCAGACTGCGTATACTGTGTATTTGTTTGTTTTAAAATATACTACACAAACGGTACATATTAATCAATAATTAAACAATTATATGAAAAGTCCACATTTCAAGTGTATTTTCAAGTGTTTTCGAACATAAAAGAATTTTACTGCTGAACGTCAACTTTTTAATTTACAGCGAAAGGGTTGATAAACTTAGATAAACAAAAAAAATGTGTATGAATTGGATTAACTGAAATAGACCTGTTCTTTGGAGGCCTCGTAACGATGGTTACGCCTAGGGCCTCCAAAAGTATAAGTGCGGCCCTGTGTGGTTGCAAGAAAAATGTAACAGTTTCTTTAGCATTATGCTCGAAGTGTAAGAAGCGTTCTTGATGAAATTTTGCCAAATCGATGGACCGGACACGGACGTACAGTTTCCTGGCCAATTCGATCCCTTAGATTTAACGCCCTTAGATTCTTTTTCTTGTGAGGAACACTGAAAAATCTTGTGTTCGAGAAACACCGACCACACCGCAAGATATGATGCAACGGATTACTGCATCGTGTGCACGAATAAACCCCGAGACGATAAGGCATGCAAAGGACTGAACGGTTCACAGATTACAACACGGCGACACTTCGAAAGTGTTTCAAAATGAAAGTAATAAGGTGGACAAAGTGGAATATCTCAGAAACAGTGACTTCTAGGATAAATGTATCTTAATACTTTTATATTCACAATTCGCTATTCTATCTAATTTGATTATAAAAAATTGGACATTAAATTAAAAAAAAAAAAAAATTGATATGTATAAAGATGTTACTGAAACTAACCCTATGTCTTTCTTGCAATCATACAACTTTTCCAAGTAACGTTGTCGCTAATTACTTGAAATGATGCAGATACTTGAAGTGGACAGATTTGATGGAACACCCTGTATATGAAAATATATGTTCCAGTCGAATGTGGAGACAAATCAGCAGTATGCAAACAACAGTATGAAACGCTATGAAGAGAAATATGAAAAAAGGGGAAAAATTAATTTTCCATTCGATGGAAAAAATGCACGAGCAGAAAAATTGAGAAAATTTTTCATTCTTTCTAAAATTTCTTTTATTTCTATTTAAAGGAAACTTTTAGTTGTTTATTTATTTATTAAGCTATTTGTTCGAAAAAAAGGGACAAAATTAATGTTCCATTTAATTAGAAAAATGTAGGAGCAGAAGAATTGAGAAAATTTTTAATTCTTAAATTTTCTTTTTTTTTTCTCCTTTATTCCTCTTTAAACCAAACTTCGAGTTATTTATTAAGCTATTTGTTCATCGATGTTTAACAACTTTTATACGGTTAATATGATGAAATCACAGTTACCGAGAGGATCGCACATATCGCGCGAGTGCAAGGATTTATTGTTGTCCTTGTTGAGGCACAATCCTGACGAGAGGATAACGTTCGATGAATTCTTTGCTCATGAGTTTTTGGATTTCGCTCACGCGCCAACGAAGGAAAATTATGATAAGGCGGCAGAGATAGTGCAAAATGCTGTGCGAATGGACGCGGAGAAAAATTCGAAGGAAGCGTTTCATTTATACTGCGAGGCTCTTAGATATTTCATTCCTATTGTAACAAGTAAGAAATAGAGATACTCGATACGATACGAATAAATAACGACCCCTCTTAAATAAATCTAATATAATTAATCGATGATTTAATTATGTGTTACTTTAATAGGTGAGACTGATTTAAAGCGGAAGCAGAGTTTGAGGTTACGCATAAATGATTATATTAGAAGGGCAGAAGTGCTGAAAGCATCATGTATAGATAATAGTAACGATAAAGATAAATGTGAACAGGTAGAAGATAAACGAAATTCTTGGACTATTCCAAGGATACCATTTACAAATAGCGGATCGTCATTTGAATACAATGAACTACGTTTGTATTAATTGTTTTTGTTTTTAATGCAACAATCCCTTCGATAAAACATGAGCATAATAGTATAACATATATCTGGAAATTTGTAAAGAATATTTTTGTTGTTTTTGTATAAAATTCAGTACTTTAGCTGCACGTTCTTTAATTAACTTTATCTCTATATTAAATTACAAGAAGAGGTACAGCTTTTAATTATACTGCCAGTAAAATTTATTTCTGCAAAAAGTATAGTATATAATGGGTGCATTAAAATTGATTAAAAATCATTTTTCATTTAAATCCATACAAGGTAGTTGCAGGCTGTTATATAATTCCAATTAGGAACGAGAAAGTTTCTGATATATTTTAGTTTACAATTTATTCATTATTCGTCGTTAGGGGTATAGTAGTACGTTTCGACGGAATTCCAATAAAAAGAAAGAAAAAAAGTACGACCGCGTATTAAACCCACTGAGATGGAACGGAATCTTTACTATATCTTAGCTAGTAATAAAAAGAAAAGATTCTTTCCTAACGCTGCTTGTGTACCAACAATAAGCTGTAATTGACAGTAACTGCTAATTGAACATTCATTCTATTAATATCGCTCGTTAGTTAGAGATATTACATTATGATTATGTTCCGCTATTGTAACATAAAGCGTTAAGCATGTATAATTGTAGGTTAGGTTAGGTTCGAGTTTGAATAATACGTAAAAAAAGAACGAAAAATTGCGAAATTATTACGGCTATGTTTATCGTATGTATTTATCGATAGGAATGCTTAGCAAAAGTACAACAAGCATGGCGGATGCGCTCGAAATAGGAGAAGTCGCCGAACTGTATGTTGCTGAGGGAAATTACGCGGTTGCATTCGAAAAATTTCAATCGTGTCTAGGACTGTTGTTACCCCTGTTATGGAAAGAACCAGCGGGTCGAAGAAAGGACTTATTGCACAAACAGGTGATCATTCATACTAATTTGTATTTTCAATTGATTTTTCAAGTAATTTATAGGTTAGGAAGCTTTGTATATAAAGATGTATAGAAAAAAGAATTCAAACACCAAATAGATAAATTACAATATGAATGTTTCATGAAAACAATTTCAGGTTACTTGGATTATTCATTTTTAGGATTTTTATATTGTGAAATTGAAATATACGATTTTAGGAATCACAGTGTGGTTGTAACGAGCACTTAAACTGTACACAACTTCATTTTTTTTTAGTTTTGCCAAGAATATTTCGGAATATTATTCTACACATGTGAAGCTATTAATTAGTATAAAGGAATTTTCGAGTTTTGACAAGAATATCGATTTTTCGAGCTCAAGACATCAACTTACCCCCTTAAGTAACTTAAAGTAGAACTGTGTATAAAATTTCTTTTATTTCCTATGTTGGTTTACGCAGGTATGAAATATACCTGCCTCAAAAAAGGAACAGCAAAATAAAAGAAAAGTCGGCTATTTTAATAGCTTACTTGATAGGGAGTATGCAGCGGGTAGTACAATAGCACGTTTATAACGTTGCCACCATAAATGTGGCAACTGGACGCGGTACTAATGAGATGTGGAAACATAATTTTCAGTTGATCGATGTCCTTCTTTTTTTAAAAAGTCCATTAATTGTACCAGTTTACTGTGTCAGTCGCAGATAGAATTTTTTTTTTATGTCGGTAAATATTTTCCACGAATTTTAGCAGAATCCGTGATATATAATAAAAGTAAAGAGTAGGATTTATTAAAATGAAAATAACTCGAGATTAAATTTACTCTGAAATATCGTGTATCCTTAAATACTATTGAAATTTTCATGATATTGTTTAAACAATAAATTCATCTTTTTATATTTTTCATACTTACATTGAAACATATTCGTTTCATTGTTTTACAATATATCTGTATGTAAAATTATAAATTTATTTAATTAATTTTTTGTATATTAATTTTCGAAATATCTTATTTATTTCTATAAATGAAGGTAATATCTATTAAATTAATTTCGTTCCACACTCTTCCATTCCATTTCCTCGTTATTCATTATTTTTATTTCATTTCGTGGATTCTCTCATAAATATTAAATTTTTTTATGATATATAAAATCATTTCATTGCATCGTTCGTTATTTGTTAATATTTGTCATAATTATAGAACTATAGAAACAAGGTGTTACGAGTAAATTATATGCTTGGAGGTATCTTAATTTAACGAGCTCTCCGTTATAAATGAACTTTTATGTATATCAATTTAAACAATAAATAATCATTAGCAGCTGCATATTACTTTCTACTAAATAACAGATGATCATTAGGTAACAATTAGTGTTTCATAGTGTACATCAAGGTAAATTGTTATGGTCGATAATTATAGTATTCATTCAAGCATATCTGATTTCTGATAAACATCGCTATTAAATATTTTATACACTTTAAATTTATAACCGTTTGCCAATGATAAAAATCTTTTTAAGTACACTGCAAATTTTAATAAAAGATTTGTTAAAAGGATATTTTTTCATAACAGTAGAGGAATGAGTAATTTCAATATTGCGAAACAAATAATTCGATGTAACGGGTGTAATTAAATTTTATGATTACTCGTAACATTTATTACGTTTATAAATCAATGTATATTTATTGTATGTATATTTAACGATGTATGCATGATTGTGCGCAGTATTATATTTTTTCACATTGTATAACGTTATGCTAATTGACAGGTACAATTTTGGATGAAAGAAGCCGAAAACCAAAGGCCTTTTAGCTGCTAAAGAGACATAGAAGAGTCCACAGTAATGTAGCACTGATACGTTCGAGCAATGTATAATGCAGTGATTCACATTTTCCATTTAATATAGAATGTTATTTTCACTGGCAACGCGCACTTAAATTTTTGCGAAATAAATACAAATACTGTGCCATCCGTGTCACACTATGTAATGTATGTATGTATATCTTTCTCGTTTATTTATGAAAAAATAAACAATTTTGTATTTAATTTTTCAATGCAAATGGTATTACTTTATAAATATAATATTCCTCTGCAACATATTATTTGGAATATTGCGCAACGTGTAAAAGCTGCAATGGATCATGCCCCCTTATTTATTAAAACCTTTTCTAAAAATACGCACGAAATATACCGCATGAAGTAAAGTAGTTTTTCATTCTGATACTAAGAAAACCAGGGAAAAAAGGAAGCCGTGAAAAGGAATTACATATTTCCTGTTGCTAATTAAATTTTCGTTGATAAATTGATTCATGTGTATACATATGTATGTATGTATGGGCAATAGTGTCTACGACGATTTACATAAATATGAAAATGTACATCCACAACAAGCAACGTTTGTTTATTATGATCTTAAAACAGTACATTTATAATAACTCAAGTATACCAACTTAAACATGTCTACACATTTATTCATTTCATCAGTTTAGAAAGATTCGTTTAAGGATATGCTAAGATTGTTTACATTTTTTTTAAGGCACTAATCTTCAGCATTTCGTATAATCCGTATAAATGCATTTTTTATTTCACTTGTATGGTATTTGTCTTGTTATTGAAATGAGGAGAATTCACAAAAACTGTTTATATTATTCTCGTTAGAGTTTGTTTATATTATTCCTCGTGTAAAATCTAGTTACACTTCATGTTTGGGGTACACTAGTTTATCCTTGACATTTCGAGTATTACATAGTTGTGAAATTTATTTACAAAAACAAAAAAAAAGCTTAAAAAGTACGAAGGTAATGTTATTAAAAAAAAGCTAATTTTGTTGAAAAGGAAAGCGAGTTATTTCCAAGAAGAAAACGTTAAAACTTAAAGCGGAAAAGGAGGGCGCGCGCATCGTGGCGCGTCGCCCTTACGACTTCCGGTAAAACCACGTGACCTAGCTAACGGTCGGTGTTGCCCTGAAGCGTCATGGAAAATTCCCATTCCCGAGCAACAACCCTCCCCCCTTCCCTATGTACATACCCCCTGCCCACCCCTTCCCATCCGTGTCCCCACTATGGCGTTGTCAGGTACTTATGTACATCCCCCACTCCTTTGCAAAATTCTCTTTCCCCCACCACTTGGCCGGTGGTACCGGATGTGCGGCAACGTCGCAACCGTTAAGTACATAAGGACGAGTGGAAGGGGGACGAAGGGGGGTACGAGAAAGAACTGGCAACGTGTACCACATTCAAATCTGGACGGAACCCGGTCGGCCTCTCGGTTCACCTCCGCACAAAACAGCAGAAAACGCGGGCCGCGAGAGAATTGCGTGTACATTTAGAACGGGCAACCAACACGCGTTTCGTTGCGATCTGTCCAGGATCGTCTGTGCGTACCGTCGTGCGTCCCTCCCATTGTCAAGTACAGCGACGAAATAGATTTGCAACGCAGAGCGCATTTCGCGGCGCCCTCGTGCGACGACCCTTTCGCTTTCCCCCCGTAAGTGTGAATTTTGCGCGCGCGCACATAGTTTAATGTAAATGTCACGGGAACGTAGGAGTAGCGTGACCGTGTGGCAGAAGTGTTGTTTCGTGTTGTGGAATTATGTGCATGGACATTCAGGTTAACGAGAAGAAGAAGATGAGCGACAGGAGTGTCGACGAAGACGTACAAATCGTCGAAGCCCGAGTCAACAGAGGTAAGATTTGAGGTTATGGGTGGCGGCGGCGGCGGTGGTGGCGGCGACAGCAGACTTTTCCTCCCCGCCCCCCCCCTCTCTCTCACACCACGTTCCATCTCCTTTACTCCTTCTACCGTCTCTATTCCTCTCTCTCGTTAAATACTCTTTCTATCCTTTTTCTACCTTCGTTGTATTCCTCACTCGATTTCCTACCACATCCAATCACGTTACCCTCGCTCTGTTGTACCAGTGCCCAGTGCCTAGAGGGTACACATCATGCTTTCTGTTTTCTACGAGCTGCGCCTCGTGCAGACCCGGCGAAACGTGGTTCCTCGATGCGGCTACCTGTCAACATCTGCATCACTCGTGTTGACAATTTACCGTTGCAACAACGACACGTGGAATCCGTACGAACAGTTTTCTTCTCTCGAAACCTGACATACACTTTTCACGGATGTTTTTTTTTTTGTCACGCAAAATCTTCATACAATTGGTTCATAGTAATTTCTATTATATCTTTTTCAATTTTTTTTTTTTTCTTGAACTCATTCTACGGTTGTCCTATAAACACTGTGTGTGTATGTGCTGTACTTTGTCGGTTGGGGCATAGATTCTCAGTTAAGTAAAATATCTTTCGTTTATTAATTCCTGTATGATCCATTACTAAGGTTTGCTTATGTGCAAGTTGATATGTGTTTGTTGACAGATTTGTTTTTTAGTCACGTACCAATTGAAACGATCTTTTTATAATATCCTATAAAGTATCTAATCGTGTTTTTATGTGTCAGTGTATATTATTATATTTAAACGACACACATTAGTTAGTTTTAAACGTAGGAAAAAACTTGTTATCAGAATGTTTATGTTTACTGATTATTTAATTGTGATATGTGATTGTGCACTGACGTATATGGAATCAATCGAAAAATATATCTTTGAGTTTCATTATATTCCTATCGACGATATTTATTTGAAATGACATGTTTGCAAAAATGATCATATACTCTTGCAAATATATATTGATTACAACTTTGGTATTTACGTACACGATAAATTGTTAATAACAAGATTTATTTGCAATACATTTCAATGTATGATCAATAAAAGGATGTTAATTCACATTACATTTTATCCGCGTGTGCTTGCAGAGGATGACGTCACGGTTTATTTAAAGCAAACGGTAAGCTGATCCTGGCAATATCGTAGATATTTTTTTAGAAAGAAACTGTAATGAATACTTAAATTAGAGAACCGTATAATTTCCATAAAGATAAAATGTTAAAAGAAATTTAAAACGCGTAGTTTTTTTTATTAAAAAGTTTTATATAAACGGACGACGTTTTTAAATACTACATATCATTAATTTATGAGTGGAAAATCTTTATATCTTTTGCAAAAATTTCAAATTAAGGTTAGAATAAGAAAATGGCTGTTGTATTAAACAAATATACCTTACAGTATAGTTTATATTGTTAAATGGGTAATTATAGTGCCATCTTGGAAAAAATATAAGCAATTTCATGTCAGTATATGGGGAAATCAGTTTACACGAATGCAGTATAGTTTGTGATTGCTAAAAGTAATTATAAAGTTTTTGTCATACAATTCCATTAATCTAGTTCTCCAATTATTATCTTTAATTATTTGCAAACAGAATTTCTGTCAAGATATTGCATATCAGCATGATTTAGTGTGATTCAGTTATTCGTGAATGAAAAGATTATCAGAACGAATATGTGGAAAAATATTTAAATTAATCAATAGTAGACATCACCAGAGAAATAGTATGGTGGACGTCTTTGAGGTTATTGTGGTAAAAGAATGGTATCCTGTTTTTTCTCGTGCTGGAAAGGATTAAAATATTTTTGGCGCCACAAATGTAGTGTGATTAGTGGAAAGCAAACCCCACTAATATCAGTTATGACCATAACCTTAAAACCACTTTTTCACTGGGTTTAAAAGAACACGCAACAAAAGTGTTTATATTCTTATCTAGGATAGTACTCAAATTTTGATTTTAGTTCTTTAAAAAAAACCTTTTGTCATTCGTTATCTAAAAATTGTTACATATAATAGAAATATATTTCTTTTACCAAAATTATTTTTTTCTTCTAAAAACTAAATCCAATACATATATATTTGTTCAGTAATGGAACAATAATGTCAAATAATCCAAAATATTTAAGTTAGTACATGTATTTCACTCTAGCCGTATAGTAAATACGAATGATAAGCTGACTAAAATTATGAAAATTAAACATTTTGACGTAATAGAGTCGTAGTAATTCAGTTTGAAATAAGATCGCTGAAAATCGATTTTATTATAACTCGTAAAATTATCGATGACAAAACATGTATTCTTTACATACTCTAGTGTCCGTTCTAGTTGATTCACATCTCTACGCCTCGTGTAACGCGGAGCGCAGTTCGCTCGTTTGCTTCGCCGGAACATATATGCAAAGGCAACCATATACACCGTATATACGAGAGCGACAGCTGGGAGGGAAATATGTGCAGGCGTAGTATATAATGTACTCGCCCCTATGTACTATATAAGAGCCAAAGAATGATGTAACAAAGAGGCAGTTTCACGAAGTTTGCCGAGCATTCCCGAGGCGACGGCTTCGTACAAGTCGCATGCGTGCTTGTGTACGATAGAAACGCACACCACGAAGCTTGTCAGCTGCTACAAGTGTACGGCGCCATATGCAATTCTACTGAGATGCGCAAAAAATTACATCTACGAAAATGATAGAGCATAGTTATATTATCTGTTTTCATCCTCGTAGCGTAATATTCATATTTTTTTTCGAGTCCTTTTGTATCTTCTGTCATAAAAACAATACAAGTTGATTAAAAATGGCTGAAAAACTAATACTTCGCAACGTTCATCTTATCGCGATTAAGGCAAACATTTCATTTAAACGTGCCTTAGTGCACAATATTTCACTATGTTACATAATGTTTACTCCTGTGATTTCATAATTTAACAAAACGCAATAAGAAATACATCGCTATTAAGAAGAAAAAGGGATTGTGAGGGAGGAATACGGGAAACATTGGAAAGACAGAGAAACACAATGCAGTTATGGCGGAGAATGGATAGATTGGTGGAGGGCACATCCGGTTCAACGCCATATTGTCCTTTAGTAATCTTTTCCCCCTCTATTTTCCGAAGTCTCCCCTCCATACGGTTTGTGCCTTCGCTTGGCATAGCAACAGCAGCAATAGAGGGCTACTATAAATAGATCGCTACGACCTTCCAGTGTTGCCAAAACGGCTGGCCCAGCGTATGCCACAAAAGAAATCGGGCCAATCAAGGCCGCGGTCGGCCATTTTGCGATGGCAACGTCGCATGATTATATGGATTAATGTTTTTACAATTTCGGTAACAATGTTTGAAATATATTATTTATGAAAGAAGTTAGATATAGTTGGTTATTTTAATTTCATTAAATACAAGTAGTTTTTTAATATTTTTTATTTCAATTGTTTAATACTATATACTACATAAAAGTCAAATACTTATAGATGAACATTTTGTATATAAACAAAGTATAGTATATATGTATCTGCATTTCTAAGAATGTGCGGTTGTTGCATTTATATAATAACGATAAACACATTGTTTTTTTTATTGCATCTTTCTTTAAGTATCGATCAAGCGACGTTGCTTTTCTCCGCATACATCTATGTATTCATATATATGACTGAAAAGAGAAAAAAGAGACGAAGTGGGCGTGCCTGCAACGAGAACCGGCAACGCTGCAGCCGTAAATCATGATTAAAATAATAAGTATAATACATATGTAGTACATAGGAGGCTGTCGGGTATATGTATGTAAGAGCTGCGCAGAGGCACAACAGCGACGCACGTCTAGCTGCGTTCTGCGCAGCTTCAGTTCCCCCACCATTCTTATGCGACCCCCACTATCACGCACAATCCCACGGGTAAGTTCCAGGAGTAGCGGTGGGGATGAAACGCGGGTGATAGAGGAGGGAAGGGCACCTGAAACCGCGACTATATACCCCCGCGTGCGTTTACCAATCTTGGCACTTTGCCTGAAAGAGCATATCGACCGTGCAACGTTGTCACATCGTCTGCGCGATCTTACGCGCTGGCCCTGGCCACTCTTTGAGCGGTATGTACCTAGCTGCTGCAGCCCATCCCTGACACACGATGCAAAATCCCATCGAGGATATGGTTCACCTATTTATACGATTCAGTGACGTATCTAGTGATAATTTTCTAACTGGGATCGGATACTTTGAAATAATTAACCTAAAAATGAAGTGATATCAAAAATTTAAAACACGTGAAACTCTATGCACGCAAAATGTTTAATACATTTAATAAAAAATTGTTGCTTATGTTTTTGTACAATAAATTAACTTTAAATGACACGCTGATAGGTGGTTGCACTTGTAACCGAAATCGTGGTTTATTTTTGTATTGTTTGTATTTTTCTATGTTATTAGAAATATAGTAGGAATAAAATGTTTGAAAGACTAAACAAAGTATGAATATTGTTTGTAACATAGAATATAGCTGACATTTTTATAAAAATTTCGTTAAGTACACCTAATGAGATGGTACAACATTGACAATTTTAAAAACCGCGCGTTTTTTGTGAGTACTAATACACAAAGAATACATGTATGTGTAAGATATCTTTCCGTTCTGGACAATGTGTATACTCTTCCGTTCATTGTGTGCACTTTTAAATATTATGCATATATTGTATCTTAAAAACGTTATTAAGGTGTTAATATTTGATAAAGCATGATTAAGACCTATGTTATGATACATAAAGAATAATAAAAATTTCTATGATTGAAACTTGAGTGATAGTCACATGGTACGTGACAGACATGCGTATTAACGTAGTACATAAAGATTTTTCCATTATTCCCAATTTTTCCGGTACTTAGATGCTTTTCACTATATATTTAAAAATTCGAATAATACATATTCTATTTATACTAGTATATTTAATATTTTTAATATTTTTGCAATAATAATATTATAACACGAAATTGTATACGTAAATGTACAACCACATTTCTAAAAGATATTATATTTAAATATTTTTTCTTGCGTATTTGAAATTTTATTTTTGTAACACAAAATTAAACACGTCCTTCACTTGTCACTGTTCAGCTTCGACTAAAGACTGCCGCCACGCAACGCTCTTATATACCAGTCTACATTGAACATCAAAGTATGCGATTATATAGCAATTAGTATAAACAGAACCTCCTTTACTAGTTTCCAGTAGTAAATTAAGGTAGTAAATGAACGAACATTCCTTTATAACAAATTAATGACTTTTATAACTTTAAAACATTTAAGAATTACATTTTTATAATAAAATTAATTTTTAAATTGTTTGCAATATGTTTACTTTCATATTTATTTAAATTATCTGCGCATGCGTAGTGTGTATTTTCTATCTAGAAACGAAATTCTGTGTAATTAATAATATTGGATGCGGCAGATAGATGGCGACAGCTATTGGAAAGTCTGTCAATCCGTTTTTACCCAGAACAATAGAGATCTTTGTACATAGTACGCGTCTTATTAAAAAAAATTAACAGTAAAAATATTATTAAATAA